AAAGCCCGCTTCTGCAGCACCTGGCCTCTGCTCATTCCGGAACCTGCTGGCTACAGTGCTGGTTCTCTGTGGCTGTGGGCAGACACAAGTTATACTTCCTTCCAGAGGGGCAGCGTGTGCCTCTGAAAAGCCAAACTATACAGAACTTAGAACTGGCAGCCCACCCAACCTCCTCTAACTGAGGGACTTTTTTGGAAGGATGCTTTATAAGAAACTAAATTGAGTCTTTTGTGAGAAAAAGATCAGTCTCCTCAGAATCCAGAAAGCTAGGCATAATAGCTGGAGACCCGTTGAAGTGACCAGGGAGAAGAGCCCCTTCTGCCTTAGATCACTCAGCACCGTCTTTTAGAACAGCCCAATGTTGAGCCTGTAGCTCCCAATGTCAGGAGAAGGGAAATGGAATCAGACTGTGTTTTGATTGTTGCTAAAGAAAGTGTCAAGGTTTGCTAAAGAATTTGTGGCTTGTGGTTTCACTTTCCTCCAAGTTTGTCCTGAAGGTTAAATCCCACCACGTGTTTTTGGTTTCTGTGTCAAACAAGGGTAAATTCCTGCTTCTACTCCTAGCTGCTTGATTGGATTATGTGCTCACTGTTCAAATATCAACCAAACTGTAGTTCCTCAACTCTTATAAGTAGAATGGGCCCTGGGTGTTATAGAGAATATGGACTTTATGGAGCTTCCCAGTCCTGAGAAGGCCGAGAGACAGGTAGATCCCTGGGGCTTGTTGGCCAAGCAGCCTAGCTTTCTTGGTGAATTCTAAGCCAGTGAGAGACTCTGGCTCAAAAAAGAAAAGATAGACAGCTCCTGAGAGATGACAGCTGAGGCTAACCATTGGCCTCCACACACACATGCATGTGCACACAACACTCTCCTCTCCCCCCACCCCCAACAAGATAATCTAGCTCAATTCTGCCATTTTACTATGTCGTTTTACAGGTAATTAAACCCAAGCCAGAGAGTTAGTTAAATAACTTGGCCCAACTCCCCCATATGGATAGTAGTAGCAGATAAATGTCTAAAATGCAGGCCTGTTGATGCTCACCCAAGCCTATGCCATGGGGAAGAGGAGTGGAACCATATACTCGTGAAAGGAGAAGCACTTTGAAGAGTGGATTCAACAAGAATGGGACCATGTAATACCATGTATGAGGACATTACTGAATGTGTGAAGGCAAATAGTGCAAATGGAGAGAGAAGACAGGGACCAAAATTGAAGGGGCTTGAATGTGAACTCCTGCTCAGTACTACTCTTCGTCCCACTCACATGTTGGAAACCTTGTTTCAGTAGCTTTGGGTGAGGCCTAGGCTTCCATAGGGTTGTGTGTGTGTGTGTGTGTGTGTGTGTGTGTGTGTGTGTGTGTGTGTGTATACATATATATATAATTTTTTATTAAAAAATTTTCTTTCCTTTTACATACCAACCCATCCCCCCTCCCTCCTCTTCTCCCGCTCCCCCTCCAGTTACCCCTATCTCACCCCCTCCCCTCCTCATAGAGGGTAAAGCCTCCCTTGGGTAGTCAACACAGGCTGTTATACCATGTTGGGGCTAGACCTAGCCTTTCCCCTCCTGCATCAAGGCTGAGTAAGGCATTGCAGCATAAGGAATGGGGTCTAAAAAGCCAGTTTGTGTACCCAGGGTAAGTCCTGCTCCCATTGCCAGAGGACCCACAAACACATTCAGAGGGACTAGTTTGGTCCCATGAAGGCTCCCCAACTGTCAGTCCAGAGTCCATGAGCTCCCATTAGCTTGGGTCAGATATCTCTGTGGTTTCTCCCATCATGATTCTGACTCCCCTTGCTCTCAGAATCCTTCCTTCCTCTTTTCAACTGAACTCCAGGATCTTGGCCAAGTGCTTGGCTGTGGGTCTCTATATCTGCTTCCATCAGTCACTGGATGTAGGTTCTATGATGACAATTAGGGTAGTCATCAATCTGAGTGCATAGAAAGGCTAGTTCAAGAACCCGCTCCACCATTGCTATGAGTCTTAGCTGGGGACAATCTTGTGAGTTCCTGGGGTTTTCCCTAGTTGCAGATTTCTCCCCATCCCCTTAATGGTACACTCTGTCAAGATATCTCTTTTATTGCTCTCCATAGGGTTTCAAAGCCCCCTTTTGGCTATGATGGTCATCCACATTGGAGGGTTTCATTGGCCTTTTACCAAGCTATCAAATATGGAGGCTCACTTGGAGACTGCCAATATTTACTAAATATAAGCACTCATAACTTAGCATTTCAGACATGAACATATGCTTAAAAGAAACAAATTCTTATGCTAATCAAGAGATACAAAGTCCTACCTCTAAGCAAGAAGCTATCTGTAATTGATAGCTGTTGAGAGAGGAAGTATCAGTTTTCTTCAACAGAGTGACACTTGGTATATCAACCATACTCCAGCGCAGGGCCCATTCTCAGGAACAGTTGGCCAACACAAAATAGACCTCATGCTTGTTTATTTGTGTGTGTGTGTGTGTGCTTTTGCTATTTGGTTTGTTCATTTTTTAAAGAGAAGAACATGAAGTTGGGTGGGTAGGGAGGTGTTAGGATCTGGGAGGACTTGGGGAAGGGCATGTAATATGATCAAAATATATTGTATGAAATTCTCAAAAAAAATTAGAATACTCAGAAAAGGTTCTCAGCCCCAAATAAGAAATACATCAGTGTTCATCAGGATAACTGAGGTCTTTTCTTTCAATGGGACCCTGCACACAGTAAAAACAAATAACAACAACAACAAAAACACTGCTAAACACATCAACATGGATGAATAACACAGAACTATGCCAAGCATAAGTTCTTTTTAGGCAGACAAGCTGTATGATTCCATATGAATGCAACAAGTAATACTGGGTGAATGAAATCAAAGTAATAATTGCCTCTCTGTAGGAATATTAACTAGAAATGGGCAAGGTACTGGAAATCCTTAATATCTCAACTGGGTAGTGGCTACACAGTTACATAGACATCATGTAAAATACTGAGCTGTTAACTTACTCTCTTTACTGTGTACATAGATGACACATTGAAAAGTATAGAATTCACATTTACATTGGCAAGCCCATAAGGCTGCTGTAAGAATCTCGTTGCTTTCAAACATAAGATAAATAGAAATGTACAGTCTTGTGTTACCAAACTGGCAGACCACCTATTCTTGTTGAAGTCAGTGTGGTGCGGCACCTGTAATTCCAGTGACCCATCAGCCTTTGCAAGGCACAGCCAAATACAAAAAGTTAGTGAGGACAGACTGCAGCTGCGGTGGCATCCAACTCAGCTTTGCACAGAGCTTTTCCTGACTGCTGATGGCGAGTTCAGTCTGTGCTGAAACTCCGGGAAGAGGGTCCCTGCAGCTGCAGTTTTCCATTCCATGCCCTCCCTTTCCACTCTGTTCGCCTCCCCGAGGAGACAGTAAACACCATCTGGACCACTGCATTCACCAGCCCGGAAACCCAAATCTCTTCTTCCCATCAAGAAAATTATGCTCAGCCTGACGTGCCCTCCACCAGTGGGAACCAGCCATGGAGCTTCTGCCAGCTCTGAAGTTTGCTGGCCCTGAACAAACACAGAAAAGTATCTGTGGTCATTAGTACCTGAAGGGCAAAAAGGCAGGGTGCGAGCAAGATGAGGGTGAGTGGAGAAACCCTGTCTGGTCCACACAATAGCCTCATTTCTGGATCATTACTTTTCAGTCTCTGAGAATATCATCTGTACTGAGCAGTGTAGTTTAAGTAGCTTAGGAGAAACACATGGCCACAAATACTGATAACACTATCTTTATTTGTCCATTACTTACCAAGGCCAGCTCACCTGAGGACGGTTTGTTCCTTTAGAAAAAGACTCCAGCACCAGATGTATTAAGATGTAGGCCATATTCTTCAGATTCTAAACTTTTAAGAACTGTGCCTGTGCTCTTCCCAGTATACACTCTGGTCCTATGTATCTTTAACATACACCATCGAGTTGACTTAAGATAACTTATAATCTCTGGTCCACTGGACCTGTTTTTCTTAATTTAGCCATTTAGCATATGCTGTATCTGATAGTCTAATCATTTCTGTGTTCAATCTTCAGAACCTAAGATATGGTCAGCAATGTGTGTGAATATCCTACAAATATTTCTTTACTTGCTTGTTCAAACATGGGCTTTATTTTTTAACACAGTAGATAGTTGATAAGTGCATGAGAACAGGTTTTAAAATTCTCTCTCTCTCTCTCTCTCTCTCTCTCTCTCTCTCTATATATATATATATATATATATATATATATATATATATAAATATATACAATGAAGTTCACAAAGATGTGTATTTTCCAGAATAAAAGTGGATACCCACCACCACCAAGCTCCAAAGACATTGAACACAGAAGGACATTAATAAAGCTATGACAACTAGAAGTTAACCTTGAACAACATTTCCTTAGCCAGGCCAAAGAGAGCAATTGTGTTTAAGTTCATTGAAGGAAAACTTACAAAAATCGACACAATTTTTCTGTACAGTCACACTCGAATATCAGCTGTAAGAAAAGTTAACACTGTCCAAGGAAGACAAAGTTCCAAGAAACGGAGCCTATTTTTTCTTTCTCAAAGGTTTTATAGAGGGGCAGTGGGAACTTCTCTGTTTTCTGAAAGGGTCTGACTTGCTTCTAAGAAACATTAGCCTGAGGTTGAAACTATGGGGTGTGATTGTCCTTTTCACTGCTCAATTAATTTTTCAGGGAGGGAGAAGACAGGCTAGGCAATGATTTTTCTTCAGAAAAAATGCCCCTTGGTCTCAGGCTTAGAGATTTAATTCTCATTTGTCTCCTCCTGTCTCCACCATTCACTCATTTTTCTTTTCTTAAACTAATATGCCAAACTCCAGGAGTAATTTCCAGAACAAAACCATGCCTGGAAGGGAGTTTGAATTTGAGTAAAACTTCCCTTTCATGAAAACAGCTCTCCTGTGTCGTTCACTGAGTAGTCCACCACCCCAAGAGAGGATATTAACTTCCAGTCAGTACTTACCTGTCTGCGGACAACGCTGTAAGTGTGAAGACAGACACCCCCACTGAGGTAAGCTGTATGAAGGGGATCAGTTTGCAGCCAATCCTGCCAAATAGCCATCTGTCAGCCAGGTACTTGCTGGCATCCACAGGGGCACAGGTTACCAGTAGCAGCAGGTCTCCCAAAGCCAGGCTAGAGATGAACAGGTTTGGCACGTTTCGCATGGACTTGACTGTGCAGAAGATCTTGATCAGGGTGATGTTGCCAATGAGGCCTATCACGATGATAACCCCATAAACTGCGGGGATGACGTAAATGATTCCTGGGTAGAACCAGTTGTCCATCTTGGGGGGATTCAGACTTTGATTGACGGTGTTGTTGCAGTACAGGAAAGGGTCCACTTCCAGGTTCAGGTGGGAACAATTATTCAGAGCCATCTCAAGACTTCTCTCTAGAAAAGTTCCTTTAAGATGCTGCTTCTTAACTTCTGGTTTTGCAGTTAGGTGATGAAGGTAAGATCTGTGCTAGGCTCTTGATCTCCTTTAATAAAAACACTCTGAATGCACACACACTGGTATTCCAAACTCTAGCTCAGTACGTTGATGTTGGTTCTGCCCCAGCCTCCACACCACCAGTGAGTGATACATCTATCTGTAAATGCCCTAAATTAACAAGCAACAGAAACTCAGCCCAAAGAAAAGCTTAGGATTAAGCCCACTCTGTCCCAGTTCTTCCTACCTCCATTCTAGTCTGAGTCCCTCTGGCTGCAGTTTGCTAAGAACTTTTGGATTGCTATTTTCACACAGCATTTCCCGTCTTTCCTGATATGTAGAACCTGAAGGTTTAAAGTGGGTAGAAAAAAACTGCACCAAGAAAGCCTCCAATCCTATAGGCAGGATGCTTTGCACGTCACTGGCTTTCCCAGCAAACGGCAGCTCTCCTGAGCTGAGGCTTTGAAGAGGAGCCAGGGCCACGTATAGACAGCGAATGCCAGCCCCCTGCTGGACACTTCAATCACTGCCCAGCTGCCCGCTTTCTCCAAATGAGAATCAGCCAGCAGATTGCAACTCCTGTGGCTTAACAGATACCTTGCCTTTTCATTTAAGCCAGCAGCACCCATAGTCGGTATTTAATAAATGCTGCTCTCTGCAAAGACTAGGGCTATCTCTGATACTATCTCCATGAGTTCCTATGTGACTCATGACCCTCCCCATTTCTAATCTACACTAATGCATTAGAATGGTACCTCTGGGTCTCTGTGTGTGAGCTGTCCTACTTAGTCCCTTTGGAATAGGGACTGTTACTGAGAATTGCATGTACAGGATTCATACCTTAAATCTCCAGCAACAGACTTCAGGAAAACCAGAAGCACAATACACACGTGCTCTTTCCTGAGAATTTCCCAAGCCCCTGTGTTCCTTAACTATGGAGCCAGCTGCTGCGTGCTTAACATTCAAAGATCAATAATCTTTTCCAGAAAAAAATATGCCCTTTTTCTTCTGATCTAAAAACTGCCTTTTTAGTGTAGCTTTTGCATTATTTGGCAAGCTTTCAATTTCCTGTGAACTATACAACCGTTGTGGATTCTCCCAAGAAATGGGGGGAGGGACAAACTGGTGAAAGAAATAAGTTATGGCCGAAGGAATGCTGAGAAAGACTCTATTAAAAATACTATCAGAATCAGGCTTGACCTTTAGCTGGCACTAATAAATACATTATAAGGCTGTACCTTCAAGATGTCTGTGGAGCTGGCCCTTCCTGAAAGTTAGCTAATAACAGACGCTAGCAAAAGGCTCATTTTTCAGGACCCATAAGGAATAAAGAAGCGAGTGCTTGTTACCATGTCAGGGCCCATCAAGGAAGCTTCCAAGTGTGTTGTCATGGACACTTGTGGCATTTGATACCCAGGTGGCTGCTGTACCCTTTTTGTAATATGAAAGGCTCCTTACAGGCAGCATGCAGAAGACTGATGCTACATGCTTGTAGGTGGAAGGGTTTCTTAGTGGAGTCCAGCCTCGACAGTAATGAGTCAATAACCATGAGCCTAGTAGTGTCAATCAGTTGCTAGCAGTACAACTTACTGATGCAAGACATGAGTTTCAGTCCTGACTGACCCTCTCATTTATTACCTTGGCACATTGCCTGGGCAAATTACTTACATGTCTTCAGGTTCAAGTTCGTTATCTGTGGAGCGGGGATAATTTATGAAGGTTAATAAAAAATAATCCCTGGTAAGACCATATAGTATTTATTCCATTTGATTAATTTTAGCTACTTATCACTATTACCATAATTACCATTTGGGGATTGAAGGGAAAAGATTTGCTTTGGGACAGCTCAGAAGACTGATTGATCTCAAATCAATAGACAAGAGTTCCACTCACACCGGTGAATCACCAACGCCTCTATTTACATGAGGGAAATTTACAGCTTCTAGGTACTACACATGTAAGAGGCTAGACAGTGGTGCTGAGCAAGGGGACCACGTTTTAGACACTACCACTTTTCTAGAATGAAGCAACCACCCTTTCTTCAGAAAATGTGATACTTGATGCTGAAGGTTTGCTAAGTATGTGCTAGGGCTTTCTGAACAGATACAAAGCGGCATGTGATTAGTGGCACAAAGGAGGGTTGGCACTGAGCAAGAGAACCACTCTAAGCCCCGTTATAAAGGTCACTCAAAGTAGAAGAGGAGACCGGCAAGGGGAGTGCAGCATGAGACACAGCTGGAGGCAAGCTGGTGAGACAGTGTTGAATCCGATGTTGTTGCTCCGAAGTTCTGCCTACAGAGTTTGGGTGCACAAAGGGGACTTGTGGGCATAATTTCTCGTTATTCGTCAGATGCCTCCATGTGCTGAGTCAGTCTGACTTCTTAAATCCACTTAGGCTATTAGTGTTTCTTCCCATGTAAGCGGATGTGGGCAGGTGTTGCTTTCTCAAAGCTGTCGCTAACATTATGCCTTCCACAGCAGAGCAGTATAGACTGTTCTAAAGGTATTTTAAGATTGAAGGTGTATTGAGGATTGATATCTACTATTTTCTAGATTCAAGGATGTTAAAAAAAAAGCTAATCATGGAATTCGGAAGCCACTTCAACTAATTATCTATAAGGACTCTGTCCATCTCTAGTGTTGTGTCGTCTTCTAGGCAAACACTGAACATATTCAGACCTTTCCTTAGCTTGTTGTTTAGTGACGAGTACGAGATGTGTGTGACTTAGGAGAATGACATGGAACAAATATAAACAGAGTCCCTGGCCTCGAGGAAGCCAGTGTCTCAATAGGATTGGAATGTGACAAACGTCTTTTCCTGTGTGTTGACAGAAGGATGTCCCTTGTGCTTCCATTGCGGTCAACAGAATCACATTTTCTACTCTTCCAAAAGAGCTGCTCTTCTGGGGAACTTTAATATGAGAGGGGCAAAGATCTGTTGAAATTTAGGAGGGTAGCTGGATTCCATAGAATCAAAGAGAAGAGAGAAAGTTTCTTCCAATGGTATGTGCTGGTATTATGTTTTCCACCAACTAAAATTCTTGATAAGGCAATAATATATATACACAATTAAGGTGAATTAGTTACAGTGTGAGTGTGTCCAGAACAGAGAAGGGGGAGTGCAAAATAAAATAAAGGATATTAGATCTGTTGGGGGAAGACTTTTCAGTGAAGATTTCAGGCTGGACATTAGCCTATAAGATGCAAGTCTTAAAAAACAAACAAACAAACATGTGGGCCTGGAAAGATGGCTCAGTAGTTCAGAGTGTATACTACTCTTTCTGAGGACCTGATTTCAGGTCCCAGCACTCACATCTCACAAATTCCAGCTCTAAGGGGACTCCATGCATTTAGCCTCTGCAAGAACCCACACCAACATGCATGTACTCCCACACAGATACACATACATACATAATTAACAAAAAAATTTAATCAGCAAGATTGTCAGGGGTGCATTGTTAAAATACAACTTCTGAGCCCTACCCTATATGTGCTCATTTTAAATCTTCAATGCCAGAACCCAACAGTCACTATTTTTCATTTGAATGTGCAGAGGAGTCCAGATCTTTGCTGTCCTGGGGGCTGATGAGACAAACAGCATAGGCCCTAGAGATCATGTCATCATGACAGTACTTATTGTGTCCCTTCTGCTGAGGGAGTAAGAAAGGGAACATAGTTAAGAGCTTACATTGTTGTTATGGGTTCTTGCTACCCAAGAGTAAATCCTTACGCCTGCAGCATATGCATGACCTCAGGGCTAGGGGCATGGCTCAAATGGTTGAGGCGTTTGCTTAGGCCTAGCAGCCTAACTTCAATCCCTGAACCCCACAAGGTGGCAGGAGAGAACTGACTCCAGAGAGTTGTCCTCTGACCTCCATACTGTGTGGCACATTAATGCCTGTGCATGCTCAAATAAATTAAAAAATACAATTTTAGAACTGCAGAATCCTAGGCACTACCCCCAGCCCTCCTGAAGAGCTACATTTAAAAGAAATAATCTTCACGGTAACACGATGCATGTTAAAGTCTGTGGAACATGGATGTAGCACCAGGAATATCTGGGAGCAATGGTTGAGAAACCAGGATAGGAACAGGAAATGGGCATGAGGCTGAAGGCTTGCTCAAGTTCAGCATGGAACCAGGAACTGAACCACCTCAAAATTCAACTAAGAACCACTTCAACCCTGCAGCTCAGGGTGGTAATGCATGCCTATAGTCCTAACACATGGGAGTCTGAGGCAGGAGGATTAAGAGTTCCACATTAGAAAACAAGTAGATAAAAAAATAAAACATTGTATTGGGGTTTCTTCACATCACTGATAATGGCTGTGGAGTTCCCCCAGATTCCTGATAATGGCTGAGAGTTGTCCCAGTGTCTTACACTACATCACTACATCCAGGAGTAAGGCTCCAATCACGGAAATCCACCTGCCTCTGCCTTCTGAGTTTTGAGATTCAGGGTATGTGCCATTGACCCAGCCATAGGATTGATTTCCTTCCCCTTTGTTTTCGGAATATCACTCTGAGAATAAAAAAGCAAGGACAAGACGGCAGTCAGTCTAGAGGGAAATTCTGAACCTGGTCTTGTGACAACTGAATTCACTATAGGAATGAAGGAAGGTGAGTGAGTCAATGGAAAAGAAAGATGAAGACAGAGAGGTGAACGCTGAAGAGAACCGAGAACAAGAATGCTAAAGGCCCAATAGTCCAAACACACAGCAAAAGAGGCAAGAGTAGAGTGGCATTTGGTTTGGATGAGAAGGTGATGTGCTGAAGGTCGGTGAGCACTGGGCATGGTTTGAATGTGAGCTCGGTGACAGCAGCTGTGCCGAGAACTGCAGCAACTCTGGCTTGAAAAGAATCTGAAATGTCAAATTTTAGTGCAGCAGCAGGAACAGACAAGGCAGATGACTCTATCCAGACCCTACAAAACTGGGATTGTTTCAAGTTCCCTTTTCTGTTCTCAACACTCTGGGACTTTTCATGGGCTGGGAAACTTCCGTGAAAGATGAAGGGTGTGTTCCCAAAGAGTGAGTGTTGGCTTGAGCCTTAGGAAGCTGCAGAAATAAATGCAGATGGCCAGAGAAAGCCGGGAGAGGAAGCCCACATTCTTAGCTCACATCAAAGCTAAAGGAACAGGCAATGTTGTGGTTTTTAAGTCTGCCTGTTCTTGATGTGTGTGCTAGATGACCTTGATTGTCAACTTGATGAACTTAGAATCACCTTGGGAACAAATCCCTGAGCTTATCTAGGAGGGAGTTCCTTGATAGGGTTAATTGAGATAGGAAGGCCAACCCTAAATGTGGACAGTACCAGTCTATGCTTTGGGGTCCTGAATTGGATATAA